AGGGGCCCCAGGTGAGGGAGGCTCTGCCGGAACCAACTGCTGGGGACCTTCTGGGGGGCTACCAGCAGGTGCTGGGCACCGCGGCCAGGCCGGGGCCAGGGGTGCTGCGGGCCCCACAGCCTGTTTCCCACGTGGCTCTTCTGCTGGGAACGTGCACGGCTCTCAGAGCTTGACTTCCTCTCCGCCTCCGCCTCCGCCTCCTCCTCTCCTTTCTCCTCAGGCTCTGGGCTCAGACGATCCCCACGGAAGGCTGGAGAGTGGCACTCTGAGGGGGGGCCAGCGAGACAGGGGCAGGGAGGAAGACACCCCACTGCCACCTGGTTCCTGAAAGGCAGCACGGAGAGGGGGTGACAGATCAGTGTGAGGGCTCCGAGTGCAGGCCCCCAGTCCCTCTCCACCCCTCCCAGGGGGCAGGAGGACCTCTCTGCCAGCAGCACCCTGGGGCCCATTATGTAAAAGGGGGAGTGTGGTGGGCGGCAAGAGAGGGAAGCGGGAGCTGGGGGCCTGGAAGGAGGGCGGAGGGGCAGAGTCTGAGGACAGTGGGCACAGGAGGGAGTCTGGCAAGTTAACAGTTCAGGTGCACACACACCCACAGGCACTCACACACGCCCAGCACACCCATGTCCACGCTCGCCCACCTGCCCACACAAAGACCCACGTGCCCCCACGTGATCCAGGCTCCACGGCATGCACACAGACAGGCGCACACGCACGTGCACACACACACGCACACACACGCACACCTAATCTTGTGCAGGACAAATGAGCCACACATACATGGCCACATACAGGGCAGGCACCCTCCAACCCAGCTAAAGAATTAAGAAGTCCAGCAAAATGCCTCCTCTCTTCCATGCCCAGAGATAAATAATGCATTTGTTGTGTAACTGCTCTTGTTCCAAAAATAATTCCCTTGTCTTGGCTTCCATGGGGGAGGGGAGCAGAGCAGCGTGGCTGTGGGCCCCCCAAGCAGGGGAGCAGGGGCTGGGGTTTCCCACAAGGGAGGGCACAGGACAAGCTCATCTTACCGACAGGAGCAGAG